ACTCTAAGTCCACATATCAGTCATACCATGCACAGAGATGAGAATTTCTCGAGAGGACGACTACAAGTCCACATTCCAGTCATACATCACAGAGGTGAAGAATTTCTCAGGGGAGGACGACTACAAGTCCACATATAGTTCATAATCACAGAGGTGACGAATTTCTCAAGAGTAGGACGACTACAGTCCACATATAGTTCATACATCACAGAGGTGAAATTTCTCCAGGAGAGGACGACTCAAAGTCCACATATAGTCATACATACACAGAGGTGAAATTTCTCAAGAGAGGACGACTTACAAGTCCACATATAGTCATACATCACAGGAGATGAATTTCTCAGGGGAGAGGACGACTACAAGTCGCACATATAAGTCATACGATCACAGAGGTGAATTCTCAAGAGAGGACGACTACAAGTCACACATATGGTCATGCATCACCAGAGGTTGAATTTCTCAGGAGAGAACGACTACAAGTCACACATATAGTCATACATCCCACAGAAGATGAAATGTTCTCAGGAGGAGAGACGACTACAAGTCCACATATAGTATACTTTTTCACGAGAGATGAAATTTCTAGGAGAGGACGACTACCAAGGTCCACATAGTAGTCATTTACATACAGAGATGAATCATTTCTCAAGAGTAGTACCCCGACTACAAGTCCAACATAAGTGAGTCATACTCACAGAGATGAAATTTCTCAGGGAGGTCGACTACAAGTCCACATATAGTCATGCATCACAGGAGGTGAATAATTTCTCAGGAGAGGACGACTAACAGTCCACAATAGTCATACATTTCACAGGGATGAAATTTCTCAGGAGAGGACGACTAGTCCACATATTAGTCGATACATCACAGAGATGAAATTTCTCAGCGAGAGGACGACTACCAAGTCCACAGTTATAGTCGATACATCAGCAGAGATGAAATTTCGTCAGGAGAGGGACGACTACAAGTCCACATATAGTCATTACATCAAGGAGGTGAAAGTTTCTCAGGATGAGGACGACTACCAACGTCCACATATAGTCATACATCACAGAGGGTGAATTTCTCAGAGAGGGACCGGACTACAAGTCCACATATAGTCATACATCACACGAGGTGAAATTCTTCAGGGAGAGGACGACTACAGTCCACATATAGCTCATACTCCAGGAGGGTGACAATTTCATCCAAGAGAGGACGACTAAGTCCACATATAGTCATTACATCATCAGAGATGAAATTTCTCAGGAGGAGGGACGACCTACGAAGTCCACATATAGTCATACGATCACAGAGGTAAATTTCTCAAGAGAGGACCGACTACAAACGTCGCACATCATAGTCATACATCACAGAGTGTACAAAAAACAAAAATTTTTTTTTCTCAAGAGGAGGCGACTACAAGTCCACAATATAGTCATAGCACACAGAGGTGAAATTTCCAAGAGAGGGACGACTACAAGTCCACATCTAGTCATACATTCACAGAGATGAAACTTTCTCAAAGAAAGGACGACTACAAGTCACACATATAGTCGGAATACATCAGCGACGGTGAGAAATTCTCAAAGAGAGGACGACTACAACGTCCACATATAGTCATACATCTTGGTAACTTTAATCTTGCTACCTCGATTTTGAACCACACACACACACACACACACACACACCACAACACACACACACACACACACCACCACACACACACCACACACACACACACACACACACACAACACACACACAGCACATCACACACACACCACACACACACACACTACACACACACACACACACACACACATCCGCCCACCACACGTCCCGTCCTGTCGAAGTACCTCCTGTCGCAAACCGGGAGTCGAGAGGTAGGTACGGAGAAGCAGCCCGGGGCGGGCCTTCCGAGAGACTAGCTCGTTCCTCTTCCGTCGCGTCAGACCTCTTTGTCTCTCGTCCTCACTCGCGAGACGTGCGTCGTCGTCTTTGCGGTCCGTCACTCCTCTTCTCCTCCTCTCTTCTCCCCTCACCTCTCTCCCTCCGCTCGTCGACCCGACCTCTCCTCCGCCCGGAAGACGTGCCTGTCCCTAGATGTCGGTCGACACAATACGCACACACTAAGACCCGCCGTGTGATCCGGTCAGGATGGATTGGATTTACGTAGATCAATGAACCTTGGATGCGTAGGGTAGCACCTTGTTAGTCACCAAAGGCTTTCATTGGGCTCACAATTCGGCATATTTGATGTTACAACGTGTGGAGTTTTCAAATTCGTATTTATGTTTTATTTGTTGTTGTTGTACTGGAACTAGTACACCATGAAACCATGCGCAAGGCGGAAAAGTTTTATTTAGGCGAGCGGTAGGGCGAGGGCGGGGGGGGGTGACCGTCCTCCCCGCGACGTCCGTCGTCTCCCCCGTCGTCGACGTCCTCCTCTCCTTCCCAGGAAGTCTCGTCCTTCCTCCTCTGGTTCTTTCTGGGACCTCTCCGACTCCTGAGGGTCTTCCTTCGACCTCTCTTCTGTCTCTCCGGTCACGTCTTCCGGGGTCTAGGTCTTCTACCTCCTCCAAGTGTCACAGCCTCCAGCTCTCCTGTCTGAGACTTGGAGGCTAGCGGTCCCAGTGCCGGGGGCGTAAGACTGGACATCAGTCAGACGTCCCTCGGTCTGGGTGTGGACGCTTGTTTACTGAGCGGTCGGTCCCGGTTTTTTTATTACTTTTGTTCCACAAAAGTTCTTTTATCGGGTCACCTGGATCAAGTTATAAGAACGATTTTAAAGAACTTTAATTCTACCCTATACATCTATCGTGTTCTCTAAACATTCATCGACCTTTTTGAATAGAATACCTTGGTATAAACGGGGTCTTAGTCCTTTGCAACAATGTTTTATTCGGTTGTTTACCGAGTCCTCAATCACGTTCCTTAGGTTATATTGTGTACCCGGTTGTCTTCTGTCTGTGTGTAGAGATTTCTCCTACGGTCGAGGACGAGGGGGTAGTCCGTACATCTTTGTAAATCTGTACATGGTCGACCGACCGACCACATTCTTATAAAGTCCACCCCCCCCCGGACACTTTAGCCACTGGTTTGGTTATGTTCCCCAAGGCCCCCTACCGAGAGCCGGGCGGCCTTTTTTTTTAATCTTTTCTGCGGGTAAAAAAAAAATTTTACTTACTGAAGACCACTACAATCTCACCCCTTCCTTTTAACTGCCGAATTTTTATACTCTTCTGACTCGTTAATGGAGCGTTATTAGAACGTCACACCAATCGATACTTAGACTGTACTACAAGCCCGCGTATCAAATTTCTATCGTTTGCCAACCGAAGACCGAGTTGGTCGCCGGGGTGCTGCGTGCTCTCCCCTTTTACTAATCGTGACCGCGTTCCGGTCCAGTCCTTTGTACCCTTTGGAATAGTCCATAAATTCTGGTAGCATTGTGTTAACTTTGGTCTTAAAATAACATCTTTAATATGTAAAATGACTCGTGGTTTTTACATATATTAGTGAATGGGAACAATGAATTTTTTTTTTTTTTTTTTACAAAATTTATATACATTTTTTTTTTTTTTAAATTAAAGCATTACATCCCTTGCTCCCCCTCGGGGCCCGGGGATTTCGCGGGGCGATACCCGGTTTGCCGGCGTTGGACTGTACGTGGTTTTTCGTCGGCCATCGTTTGGTAAAATGTGTACTTCTTTTACTTTATTTATTTCCTCCGTAACGAAGGCATCGTACACTTACACTGAGCTATTTTTGTATCAGACGACGAGGGGGGACGTCCTGCTCTCCCGAGTCACTTTCGCGACCCTCCGGGAGAACTATCACTATATAAATATTAAATGATCTTTATTATGTGTTATCGTTTTTCATATCTATTTATTAATATTTTTATAACTACTCCCGTCAATTGTAGTTTACTGTCTATATGAGGTATGCGTATTTGCATAAATTTTTGATTATCCTTTCTCTATACATTTTCGTGTGCAACGACCCGTAAAGAGGTGGCGTCTTACACCTATTGTCGTTGACACGGGGAGAGATACGCCATGGGCAGAGGTCTCCTGCGGGGAGGTGTCCGCAGGGGCCTACTGCGGGGTTTGAGACCTCGGGCCTGGGGGGGTCGGCCTGGGGAGGGAGGGCGAGGTCTGCGGTCTCCCTCCCGGACTTTGGGGAAGTCGAGCAGGTCGGGACTTCCGTTTGGCTTCCGGTTGTTCGTCTTCTTCGGAGGACTGCCGAGGACGTCTTCGTTCCTCGTGTCGCTCGTTCTTCTTCTCTTTCCGTTTTCACCAGGCCGTCCGCCGTCCATCTCTTTGGTGTCCTAGACAACAGGTCCTTTATGTGTTTATATTGTTATGTAATACTAGTCTCACGTCCTTCTCCGTTCTGTTTGGTGCTCCGACTAAACTGGACAGATATATCTCTAATAACGTCCGAAATACCGTCGAAAATTTTACCGTCGTTTCTATTCTATAAATAGTAAATCGTTTCCTCGTCTACATTACAGCCACTCTTCAGGGCACGTTCACTACGATGTGTAGCGGTTTGTAAATCTCAGTTCGTCAAATTTAAGTTATGTATATGGTAATTTCCGATATAAGTATTTTTTTAGCTGAATTTATAGTCCCTTTTAGACTGAATTTTTATACAAATTTCTACTAAGTTTGCTTCCCCGAATTTCACTATTTGATGGTCTAAAAGAGATTTGCGTTAGTATCCGGATCTTTAGATGTTTATACAAATGGAAAAGAAACGGTAGGACTGCAGACCAAACCTCCTGTGAACAAATAATACTGAAAATACTTTTACTCAACCGTGTACATTGACAGCAACAAACTCAACTACATAAACTTTTTATAAGAGGGCACAGACGCGACATAAGATATCTTGTCGTCGTTG